AACTAGATTAATATTTTATTATACTCGGTGGAATATAAAGTTTCTAAATGAGCTAGCCATTTGTTTTTTTTTTTTTTTGAAAATTTGTAAAAGTTAAACCTACTCATTTTTTCAACTTGTTTATAAAAACCTTTAAACTTGCTTTTTTAATCATCTAAACTTGCAACAAAATTATTATATTATATTATTATATTTTTTTTTTTATTATATAATAATAAAATATAATATATAAATTCCTATAATATAATAGTAATTTTATTACATAATAATTATTATATATAATTATTATTATTTTAAATAAATTATATTATTATATTATATAATTATATAATAATTATTATATAATATTTCATTTTATATCACACAAATGCAGTTAAAATATTTTTTCAATTTTAAACATCACATCGACCAAGTTAACAAAAATCCTAATTTCCTTTTTTTACAAACCACAAAATATTATCAAAAAAAAAAAAAAAATTGTATTTAAGAGAAAGACCAATTTGAAAAAAAGAAAAACACAAAGATAATAGGACAAATATATAATAGTATATTTTTCTAAATAAAAGATTTACTTAAGAAAAGTTCAACGAGTGTAATGGTTGAAACGCTTAAAAGCTCGATATCCCATGGGATGAGTGGGTCGGTGGTGGTGGGATGGGTTAAAGGTTGTGGAGTGAGAGTGAGAGGGAGGGAGGGAGGGGGGGGGTTAGGCAAAACTATGCGGCAATAAACTCGACAGCGCATTCTTGGTTTGGGGGGTTCTTGACGTTGTACGAGTCCGTAGTTCAACGAGCAGCTTGCCTCCTTTATCTTCTTCTTGTAGGTTGACACGGTAAAGATGAACTCGCTTGTGTTCCATTTGTACTCATCTTTCTCCCTTTCCCTTTTCCCTTTTCCCTTACCCTTTCCCTATCCCTATCCCCCTTTCTCTTGCTCTCTTATTTTGTTCTTCCTTACTTTCTTTATTTTATTTTTCTATTCTTTTCTTTCTTCCCTACCATTATGGAACAACACAAAATTACTTCTTATTTTTTTTTTAACTAATTAAATAAAAATTAACATCTAGTATATTTATTTTGTTACTAGATTAAATAAATATTTAATTTATTAAATGTTAATTACACACAACATTTTTGTAGTAAAATACATGTAATATATAATGCATGTAGTAATATATTATTTATATTTCTATAATCTTTTATATTAATACTATATTATATTTATATAGTAATAACTTAGTATTACTAAGTTAAGTATAGTAATAACACTTAGTATTGTATTATAATAACATTATATTGTATACTATATAATTATTATAGTAATATGTTATGTATATTATAATTACTATATTACATATAATATAGTAATATTTAATGTAATAATATGTACATGTGTGTAGTACATGTAATAATAGGAATTATTATCAGACGAGTTTTACTTATATGTGTACAAGAACTATTTTTTGTCTAATTAAATAAAAATGAACATTTAATAATTTATTTTGTTAAGAGATTAAATAAATATTTAATATAGTAAATTAATATTATGTGTAATAAAATACATATTATATGTAATATAGTAATATATAAATATAGTGTATCTAGTAATACATTTAAATAACTATTTTTTGTCTAATCTAACAAAAATGAACATCTCATATATTTTTTGTTTTGTTTTAATTTAATAAAAATAGATATTTAACATAATAAGTAAATATTGTGTGTGTAGTAGTTCATGTATAATAGTAATATACATATATGCATTAGAACAACTTATTTATCCTCTTTCAATGTGATTGGAGAGGGAAGAAGGTTTTCTTTTCTTTTTCCTCTTGTTTTATCTTTCGTGTCGGAAAAGAGAAAAGAAATGTTTAAAGCGTACTTTGATTCATAGATGGGTTACCTCGTTGCCTAGGCACAGAACGTGACCCTGCATTAAGTGTCCTATAAAATATTGCGCTCATGTAAATATCCCCCCACGTAAAATTCCAACGACAATGTTACCTACCCTCTTATACCACTCTCTACTTTTCCCTATCTTACTTATTCTCTAGTCTACATACTTCCCTTTTCCCTTTTCCCTTTTTTTTTTCCACCCTTCGACACTACTCTTGTACAGCAATGATATATTTTTTCATTGGTATTCCACAATTAAGGTTTCTTTTTTTTTTTTTTTAAATTAAACATTAAACTTATCAACGAAAGGAATTAAATCGAGTGTTTATTGTCATTTGTTAAAACATTTGTTGAAAAGGTGTGAAATTTATTGACAATTCAATTATTAGTTTATAAATAAAAGAAAATATTTTTTTTTTTTTTTATATTCGATTGGCTAGAATCTAATTCTGTGTTAGGATATAACATGTTTTTTTTTTAAATTAGAAAATATTAGAGTATAATTAAAATAAAATAATAGTATTTTAAGTTGGAAATAGGTGTACACAAATAAAAAAATAATTAAAGTAGTATTTTAAATTAAAAATAGGTATACATGAATATAAAAATAATAAAACTAGTATTATAAGTTAGAAATAGGTATACACGAATATAAAAATAAT